TTTGGAGTTGCACAGGGAACTGTATGGGGCCGGGTTAGGTCCAAATTTTAACCACTCGATAAACTAACCTTACCGTATAGAAGATCACGTTGAGATTGGTCATTTGACCAAGTTTGATTCCTTTTTAAATTAAGGATGAAAAGAGACCAACTTTAGTTCAATCAATGGTTCAAAATCTATACCTGGTACAAACGTCTCTAATTTTAAGACAGCTCCCCCAAGACCAAATAAACTGTTAATATGTTTTATGATCAGTGTGATACTATTAAAAATGAGCAAACATATAATGATTCTAATCACAGCTTCTTCCAAACAGTTGGTGTATGACAGGATTTTAGAGTTGTCACAAAACTGATAAAAAGTTTAAGAGTTCATATATGGGATAATTTTCTGTCTTAACATGTGCGCTCTTAACATGTGCAAATATTGTAATTTAAAAATCCCAAAAACTACGCAATAATGCTCATTGTTCATGCTATTTTCTTTTATCTTAGCCTGGGATCATCAAAGTCTTTCAGAGTTTTCTTATAATACTGCCATCATGCACGGCTGTTGATCGAGTTCAGTGTAATATATAGTACCTAGAGATCTTAAAGACGATTTCCAGTCCGTACCTCGCGCTCTCAAGAACTTGGTTGCGTTTTTTGTTTTGCCTCATGTAAGACATCCTAAAATGTAAACATTCCGCCACTACTTACATGAAGTAAATTCAAAGTTTCAAAGCAACGGTCATTAAGGATGCGAAGCGGTCGAAGCTTTATGCTTCGTTCTTTCTCATATCCTTGAAGAAACAACTTTGCAGCTGTTAAACTCAGTGAAGCTGTTGGAAAAAGAATTTGAAAGGCCTCAAAGATAAGATATGTGGTTCGTAACGAATAACATCGATTCGCATTCCATCGAGTGAGACTTATAAGTTTATAAGCATTACGGTGCTGAGACTGCGCAGTACGGACTAGAAATCATCTTTAATAGTACCTGTACGTTGTTCAGTATCATGATTCTCTCCATATACATTCCCTTTGCGTTAAATAGTACTCGTTTTCACGTTGTATTTCTAACTTACAATAGTGCACTTAATAGTATAAATTGTATCCATATATAGCATCTGCGCAGATTTTTGTATTAACTGGTGATGGTTGTCGAACATCCAAACAATGATTTGGAGCATCCGAAAAATACTTTGCGTTTCGGAAAGGTAAAGCAGTATATGTGCTTCACTTATCAATTAATCAAGAGGTGCACTTTACTAAGGTACGCATTTATATATTTATGATATTATAATAAGACTTTAAAGACTTCTTAACAGTCTTCGTAACTTGTTTACACGATTTTTGTAGTATGTATGATGTAACTGTAACTGGTTGCTAATTAATGGCGATAATTACAAAAGGCACACAAAGCCAGTAACTTTCGGGATGGTTTTCAATGAGCATAGAAATATTGATATGATGCGACGCTGTAGAAAAAAAGGGGTTGAAAAGCAGTTTGAGTTGTGGAAATAAAACGATATGATAATACGATAATAAAACCACTTAAGTTTGTTTCTTTGATGGTTGATAGCATTTCTTGCATTATAAGACCACATCGAGCGTGTATCATTGAATTTTAGAATACAGCTGCTATATACCCGCTATCGGAACTGAACATGCATTATTATAATATTTTTTTTAGCCGCACGGGCCGGAAATTATAGAGCACGCTTGTACCGATGTTGTCACGGTTGCCAGCACAATCAAAATATAACTTTTTTTTTTTTCATGCTCTAGTCTAAACCAAAAAGATGGTGTTCCTATATTTTCTAAGAAAATAGTACACTTTTAAGACTTAGAAAACTGAGAACGCACTCACGTGCTGCTCGTACGCCCACTAGTTTTGTAGGCCTCCCAGAGGGGGAGAGAAGGGAAGCATGTTCCCTTTTGGCTAAAATAGATGCTTATACCCCCTTGGCGTTTTGGCTAAAATAGGTACTCAAGCCCTGGGCGTTTTGGCTAGAACAGATGCTCATACCCTTAGGCGTTTTGGCTAAAATCAGGATGTTCAAACCCCTCGACGTTTTGGCTAAAATAGATGCCGATATCCCTGGACATTTTGACTAAAATAAATGCCCATACCCCTGGGCGTTTTGACTAAAGTAGTTACTCATACCCCCGGGCGTTTTGACTAAAGTAATTACTCAAACCCCCCGTGCGTTTTGACTGAAGTATTTACTCATACTCCCCGGGCGTTTTGATTAAAATGGACGCTCATACTCCCGTGCGTTTTGGCTAAAATAGTTGACCAGGTCCCTGGACCATTTGGCTAAAATAGGTGCTTGGATCCCTTTTGTCGTGTTTTGGGGAAAGGCACATTATTGATACCCCTCCTCCACCCGGATGCTATTGTTTTCTTTTCTTGAGCAAAAGCAATGAAAGATAATCTTTAATCACTGAATTTTCTGAGATCGAAGACAACTCATCATTTTAAGTTGATACTTAATCAGATGGATTCACCATGGTAACGTGACAAAGCCCTGTGCAGCTGCCAGTTTTGAAGTTGTCAGTCGGATCTGGATACTGACGTGAAAATATACTGATAAAAAATAAAATAAAGGATATGTACTCCAAAGCTTGGTAAGCTGTGTTCAGCCAACTTAACGTACTGGCGAATTGTCAAGGCAACTTGTTAAACACGACAAAATCTTGACATGTTCATTTTTGCAACAGACCTTAGGAGGCCGTTGCAAAATCCAGTAAAGCTTCTGCGGTATTATCTTTCGTCTTTCTTGTCTTTCTGGGAGGTCAACATCAACTAATTAATCAACTAGTCAAGTTACTACATGTAAAAAAGAGGTGACTACTTTCAGTATACTAAAACAGTCCAAATCTGGCGCAGCTTGGCGGGGCAATTGAAGCGCTATTGGTCGCTAATCAATCGGCAGCCAGATTGACGCACTTGTAAGATGAGAAATTATATTTTCGAATCCACCTTGAAATGAAATTATTCCTACGCGTTAAAACATTTAAACAGGTGAAAATGAATTTTCCTTCCTCATCATATATACGTCACAGTGAAAGTCAGTCATTAATGTGAACACAAAACCCAAATAAGGTCCATTTTTAAGCGGCGATTCTGTTCACTTAAGTTAACTTTATGTCAATCGAAGATGTGATAAAATAGCTATCAAGATTGTGCAACGTGTTTAGAATTTACCCACGGGTATGTTGTCAATCTCAGATAAATTTATTATCCAGAAGAGAAGTCAGTTTTTTTTTGCCTAATAGTCAATCATTAACCACATTTTAAAACGCTAAGGACAAGACCAGAGAACGACGAAGAATATCGCAAAATGAAAACAGCTACTAACTTATCAGCGAGTCGTGAAAGAATAACGCATTACCATTGCATTTAAGTGCACATAACGACATCAAAAGAGCCCGATTCATATACTTGGATACCGGTAATATTATATCCTCTCGTTAATTAAATCTCTCTTCAACTGTGTTTATTCGCTCCCCAGGCTATAAATATGTAAATATGCACATGCTTAGCGAGAAGAGTGGCAGATCACTTTTCGGTTAAGGTTTCCGCTGTGTGCAAGTAAAATATCTGTTCTGGAGACTGTGGTTGCACATCGTGCGAAGCAAGCAGGTAGGTCACACTTTAAATGTAAGTGCAGTTGATTAACTGTTTCCACGAAAAAATTTAAGATATGTATCCACAGAGGAAAAAGAAAGAAATAACAGGTCTTTAGTGGGAACGTTAAAATCGGTGTTGACAAAATGACGTTGATAAACCACACGCTAGCTAATTTAGGTTGATTCTGCCATAAAGAAACTCGTCATTTGACGTGAAAAAGCGGAATTCTTTCGCTTTAGTTCTCATATTTTGGCCACTCGAATATTAAAGCAATGGCGACTAAACAATTATAATATAGTCAGGAAGACAAAACAAAGATATTGTGCTTCATCCATATTCTTGTAATCAATTAAGCAAGTGCCTTGTGTAAAATTTAAAAAACAATTCAACAAAATTATTTTGCGTCCCATATTAGCGCCTGTTTGACTGCTACAGTGACCGTTAGAGCGAGGGTTTTACCATGTCATCAAAAGTTGCTTAAATTCCGCGCCAGTTTTCTCGGGAATTCTTTTCATCTGCGCAATCCGAAGACTGATTCTTTTTTCCCGGTTGAAAGGCATTTCACTTCACGGGGCAGGTAAGTTTGTAAACAATCCTTCATGTAAACGTAACAGGCTGTTCTCTCATTTCGGGAACAAATGTGAGCAAAAAAGAAACGAGTATTCTTCCTGATTCGTTGGTAATGACCTAAATTTGGGGTTTTCTTAACACCCGGATCAGGCAAGCCGGAAAAAAAGACTTACCAAAGGTCATAACACATAATCCTTCTTTAAAAGCGAAATTACCATTCTTCAAGATTGCCCTAAATAAATAAGTTGCCTGTGCTTTGTTGGGATTTAATAATGTAGGGTACATATACTTATGAATTTTTTCTATTGCTGAACGAAAGTCGCCGATAGATTTGAAGTCGGTGACTCTTTCACTTCAATTCAGTGTGAGCGCAATTATTCAAAATAAATATTTCAGTTTGCAATATTAAGACTGAATCCTTTGTTTTACTGCATCAAAGACGTGCGGAAAAAGTTCAGCATCGATTGCAAGCTAAACGTATATTCGGACAAATTGTGTTTACTCAAAGGAAATTATTTCTGTCATAATTGTGTAATTTCTTCGTGTGTCTTCAACAGCTGAATGTTGCATTAGCAAAAATTACCGCCACTCTTATTGAAGTAAACTCAAATTACGAATTCTTTTCCGGATTTTTATTATCAGCAATTTAATACGAGAAATAAAAGCGAAGACACCACGCTGTTTTCTTTGGGTAAGTGAATTAATTAAATTGCTGAAAAGCGCTTGAGTTGCCGCGGGTCCTATTTTCTTTGCTCTGTAGAGGTTTGCGACCTCCCCGAAAATTTCAGTCTTATCCCGCTGAGCGTTATTAGCTGTAACAAATTTTTGATTATTATAATTGTAAACTGAAAACATAACAATATTTAGCGATCAATGCGTCTAGCCGATACACTGATACACTGACTTTATGACCGGGCTGTTCTTATGATCGTTCTCCTGTGATTGAGTGTTGACTAAGCCAATTATCTATATGACACGTTATCTACCGCTCGGTGATATTTTTTGGTGGATAACGTGATTCACTTTTTGATCATGAACAACTGGCGTCCGAAAGTTTGCTGTATTAAACAGGCAAATGGTTGTTTTTATATTTATCAGCAGTGTGACATACAAACGAGGCAAAAGGATCGTCAATTTTTCTTTGTGTCGACCCTTTCGCCTCGTTTGTATGTCTTTTAAAACAAAGGAATATTTGACCTCAGACTCATACAATAAGCAAAAGTTAGCTAGGAATGTTACGTCCGATTTCTCGATTACAGCAATTTAGATTGTACTCGCTAAATGTCACGCACAAGCTTTTTTTGGCAGTCCTTCAGGCCTCTCATCCCAACCTGACTACACAATCCTGTGCTTAGCAGGTTGCCAGAAGATTACGCTAAATATCGTAAAAAGTAGAGGATGGGAGCTAAGGAGAGGGTTGGGGATGGGCGGAGGGGAATAAGGGGAGAGCGAAGGGGGTAGGGAAGGGGGTAGGGAAGGGAAGAGGAATGAAGAAAAAAAAAGCTCGAAAATTTCGAGAGAATTTCGAGAGTTCCAGAGTAGAAATGTGTTTCTATATTAGGTAAGATTATTATTTTGGCCCAGTCAGAAACCCATAAGGGATTAGAGCGTGTAACTGTCCCATCTACCCTTGATTTTCAATTTGTTAATAGCCATATACGGAAAATCAAAAGAAAAAAAAATAAACCAAACAAACAAAAAGGTTTTTCCTCTGTTCTCGCGTGCGCATCAACATTCATAACGTTATCCGGGGAAGGGCTGGGCCGGGTACCAGGTCTAATTAAACCTTGAGAGAGATTTTCATGAAATTGAGGCCTATATGGGCTATAACCTTGCTACCTTTTATCCACTGTTGTTAATGTCAACGTTGACTAATGTAGGAGTTGTCTCCGATTTTTCCAAAGAAGTCAGCTTACAGCGCGCGCTAGCTCTTTCTGCATGTAGATGTTGAACAAGTTCAGTTTCAGGTTGATAAAGTTAATATAAGTCTGATTGAATTGTGGCTGCTTTCACAGGAAAAAACTCGGAAACGTTCTCGTTTTTCAATTGCAACTATTCAATACACAAGCCACTCTTGCTTGGGTTTAATCCCTATCAGAAATGGAGACCAGAAATGATATATATATAAAAACAGCTAAAAACAGCTAAAAATTAACAGCTAAAAATTAATGAGAAAAGGAACTTTGGAGACTTGTATGGCTCCCTAACAAGGTCCCCCTTTCCCCCGTTCCCCCCTTGTCCCCTCCTTTGGGTTTTGATACAAATAACTTGATTATAACAAAATCCCCAGACGAAGAGGGAAGTGCACCAGCTATAAGGTATAAAAGCTTCCTCTCTTCTTTTCATTATCTGTTGGATCTCATTTGACTTGGACAATATGTATTTAAATAATCTTAGATTTATATACATTGATAAGTCAGGAAAGCCGAACTACTGATACACACAAACATCAGAGCAAAAGTTAATACATAAAAACTAAACGCTTCACCAAACTACAGAGGAGCTTAATTTGCGATCTTAAGGTTCGTAACGAACCTTAAGATTGCAACTCTGATGAAGGTGGATAGAAGCTACCGAAATTTCAGAGTAGGGCAACAAAACCCTTAGAGAAAGGTTTTACTCGTTCATCTTAGAGTACATTGTTCGTGTATTTCTCTTATTCTGTACGTTCAGTAGAAATTATAATAATATTCTAGCTTGTTCTGGCACAAATAAGTTACTAAATTTTGAGTCTTTGTCTTTGTAAATCTTCCATAACTATTAATATGGGGATAATACAGATAATTTATTCACTAACGATATCATTTTAATTCATGTCGCCAATCCAGTCTTTTCCAATAAATTTGAAATCCCTCCTGGGACATTAAGGGTTTACGTTTTCATGTGTCGACATAATAAGTGAAGGTTCTTGAATAGCACACAAAAAGAGAAACGTCGCAACCGCTTATCCAACAAGAAATCATATCACCACTAACAACAACAATTAAACGAAGGAATAGCTCCTGCAGAAATGCTTCGATACCCACGTATTTCAAGCAGAGAGTATGGAATTCTTAAGCATACATAAAATATTAGTCATTGTGGAATGTTCAGAGAGCATTACATAGGAGCATAAAACCCTAGTAGTTTAATAACTCAGATAGTGTATCACAGTTAAACAAAAACTGACACTGCAATAAAGAAATTGAGCCATAAAAGTCACCATGGGAAAGCTAAATGGAGAAAATGTTCGCAGCGACTTTCTAAATCATTTTAAGTGGCAAAGAGTAAATATTATTGTCAAAATTATAATGGCTTCAAATTGTCAGTTAAACAATTTCTTTATTCAGCCACCAGCTTTCTATAAGAACAGCCAAAACAACACTCAGTACGAATTTAAGAGCTTGGTAGTTTATCGCTTTATTTTACGTGTACTTTTTTTTTGTTTTTTGCTTTGCTTACTTGTCACTGGCATCTGTTTTTATTGTTTCATTACAATTTTTCAATTATACGCACGGAAATTAGTCTGAATTAATAATTGTGTTTATCTTTATTGTCAAAATATCATAGGTGAACCAGGGCAATCTCGGTCGTGACAAATTATTTATCTAACCACGTTTATCTTATGAAAGGTAAATATGAAGCTGGCGTTTACTTCTGCACTTGTTATGGCTTGGGCGTCTGCAAAATAAAACACGTATAGAATAGCAAATTTTAGGCTTCGACCCAGTCAAAACTGTACTAACAAAAACAGCAGCTTATCACAAGAAGCTTAATTATATGTTATTTACTCTAACAACATCAGGAAAAGAATCAGACTCAACTACGATGATCTGATTCTTCTAAGTTAAGATAAAATATCTTCAAAGTCTGGTCTGCTATTTTCCTTTTTGCATAATTAATATTTAACGAAAATTTTTTAGGCCGTCAAAATTATTTAGTAGACATAACAGAGAGGCGATTATTTGCAGTGCTATTAAAAAGCAGCTTTCACGCTGTCTTGATACTTTCGATTCACAAAGCTGGTTTCACCGCTGGAAGTGCCTCTGAACTGTAGAATTCAAGGTAGGGAACTTACAGCAGGCAATGTATCTTTGTTGTCACAGCAGTGGTCAAAATGTGTTCTATACTGTTGTTTTAGGGGACACCATATTGATTTTCTGCGACAAGCTGCAATATTCAATGTTTAAAAATTATTTTATCTTGCAGAATAAACGCAAGACTCGTGTTCATCCGAACTTAAAATAAGCTTTTTGGTGCTCATATTAAATTACTTTACGCGAGTCAAATCTTCGACTGCCGCAATAAGGTTATTTTACAGCGACTCAGGTCGAATCGGTCGAAGAGTGAGTTTTCTCTTGTCACAAATTCTAACAAAATAGAGCGAGCTGTGATCTTCGACGTAGATTTCTGTTTAGAGTGCGTTGTAGCTGGACATGTAAAACGCGCGACGAATCATTAAT